AACCAGTCCAACATAAATCTCCAATAACTCGCTGTCAAAACACACTAAGACAAATAGCAAAAAACAATCTGTCTCTCTGTCAACCTCACACACACAAACACTTAGAGTCTTGTCCGCTCTCGACTTCAAAAGCCTGAAGCTGGTCAAATTCTTTGATGCAAAAACAGAGATTTCAGAGCGACGGAGAAAAAGAAACAAAGAGAGTGATCCACCCTATCGTCTCTTTTCATAACCCTCACTCTTTTTCTTCTCCTGTCTTCTGCTTTTCAGCTCAAACCACATCATAAGATCCTCAGATGCAAATTCCAGTGTATCTATCTGTGTGTGTGAGTTCAATACAAGTTAAGCTTTGTCAACAGCATCTGTGACAGAAACGCACTTACAATGAAAGTCTGAGAGGCAATCGTTACATTTTTGCCCCATAGACTTCAACTGAAAGTGTATAACTTAGGATTGCATTTAAAAGTGCACAGTAATTTTTTCCTCCAAAACAATTAAACATTCTTAAAGGTATAGTTCACCCAAAAAGCAAACATTCCGTCATCTGAATTTTCATGTTTATGAACTATCCCTTTAATACTACACTAAAAAGGTCTATAAAGAACCCTAGGGTTCTGGACTCAATTTCAAATTTTATGAAGGTTCTATATAAAATATCTTAAATTACCGCATTATAAAGAAAGGAAATCTTAAGAATTATTGAATAAGAGATACGAAGGATATGAGGAATGAAAGAAGTATTGATAGGAAGAAAAAGAAAAAGAAATACCCATATTGGAAATGAGAGTACTCTCTGGACTAAAATGCATCATCCTCAAGTGTTTTCTTTAGTACATAGTTAATAAAATAAAAAAATAACTGAAAACGAATTGGATCTGGTACCCAAACCACAGGCAGAGTAATAACTATATAACTATATAGCTTACTGAATTTACAAAAAAAAAAAAAAAAAAGCTGACAAATTGGGTTGGCTGACATTGCCTTGCAACATACTTTATTGTTACTACAATTGATGACTTTTATGTCCCTTTTTTCTTTCTCTTATAATTTTGGATGTTATATCTGTTTCACAAAATATGTTTTGCTGGTTTTTTTTTTCTTTGTTTATATATATATATATATATATATATATATATATATATATATATATATATATATATATATATATATATGTGTACATATATTTTGCCAATATACCCAATTGTTGAATGCCTTGACTAAGATTCCATGTACCATCCAAATGTAAGGAATTGTTATAATTACTGTAATAAAAACTTAAATAAAATAAATTACCGCATTATACTTTCATCTTTAACAGGTTATTTAAACTTTTTCTAGTGATAGATTTAATTTAACTTAAATTAGTTAAAAACAAAATGAATTAATTAAAACTAAATTCATAAAATGGACTCCTAAGAGGCTCTATATATAAAGCATATATGACCCTTTAAGGATCTACAAAGAACCTTTTCTTGTAAGAGTGTATAGTCATTAGTAGACTGATCAAAGCTTATTTATTATGGCATGGGTTCTCTTATGGGAGCTGATATGTTGAGATTATTAAGAAATTATTATAGGGGTATACCCTATATCAGGGGTCTCCAACCTTTTTTCATTTGAGAGCTACTTTTTAAAAATGAAAGTGGCCGAGAGCTACTCATGTAATACAATACTTAAATCTCCTAAATAATGTCTCATAACTCATATTAACAGCTATTCAAACTGTTTTAGACCCAAAAGAGTTTTTTTAGGCCTATATACACTCACCGGCCACTTTATTAGGTACACCTGTCCAACTGCTCGTTAACACTTAATTTCTAAGCAGCCAATCACATGGCGGCAACTCAGTGCATTTAGGCATGTAGACATGGTCAAGACAATCTCCTGCAGTTCAAACCGAGCATCAGTATGGGGAAGAAAGTTGATTTGAGTGACTTTGAACGTGGCATGATTGTTGGTGCCAGAAGGGCTGGTCTGAGTATTTCAGAAACTGCTAATCTACTGGGATTTTCACGCACAACCATCTCTAGGGTTTACAGAGAATGGTCCGAAAAAGAAAAAACATCCAGTGAGCGGCAGTTCTGTGGGCGGAAATGCCTTGTTGATGCCAGAGGTCAGAGGAGAATGGCCAGACTGGTTCGAGCTGATAGAAGGGCAACAGTGACTGAAATAACCACTCGTTACAACCGAGGTATGCAGCAAAGCATTTGTGAAGCCACAACACGCACAACCTTGAGGCGGATGGGCTACAACAGCAGAAGACTCCACCGGGTACCACTCATCTCCACTACAAATAGGAAAAAGAGGCTACAATTTGCAAGAGCTCACCAAAATTGAACAGTTGAAGACTGGAAAAATGTTGCCTGGTCTGATGAGTCTCGATTTCTGTTGAGACATTCAGATGTTAGAGTCAGAATTTGGCGTAAACAGAATGAGAACATGGAACCATCATGCCTTGTTACCACTGTGCAGGCTGGTGGTGGTGGTGTAATGGTGTGGGGGATGTTTTCCTGGCACACTTTAGGCCCCTTAGTGCCAATTGGGCATCGTTTAAATGCCACGGCCTACCTGAGCATTGTTTCTGACCATGTCCATCCCTTTATGGCCACCATGTACCCATCCTCTGATGGCTACTTCCACCATGTCACAAAGCTCTAATCATTTCAAATTGGTTTCTTGAACATGACAATGAGTTCACTGTACTAAAATGGCCTCCACAGTCACCAGATCTCAACCCAATAGAGCATCTTTGGGATGTGGTGGAACGGGAGATTCGCATCATGGATGTGCAGCCGACAAATCTGCGGCAACTGTGTGATGCCATCATGTCAATATGGACCAAACTCCCTGAGGAATGCTTCCAGCACCTTGTTGAATCTATGCCACGAAGAATTGAGGCAGTTCTGAAGGCAAAAGGGGGTCCAACCCGTTACTAGCATGGGGTACCTAATAAAGTGGCCGGTGAGTGTATGTCACCCTTAAATGTCAGCGAAAAGAACAGAATCAGAGATTATTTTTTTTTATAGAAAATTGTACTTTGCATATTATACTGTAAACACATAATTATAGTTGATTTTATAGTGCATCATAACTAGAGATGAAATGGCATGAAAATTTCCTTTCATGATTATAGTGACCAAAATGATCACGGTTATCACAGAATCCTGTTAAAAAAATACTATTACAGTTATAGTTATATGTCGAAAACCAGCAAATAACAAAAAAATAGCATCAAATGCTCTTTTTGTTTAAATAAACATTAAAATAATAACATTAAAAATGATGGCCAGATTTTAAAGGAGTGTCTTGCAACATGTTATCTACTAACATGTACAAGTTCAAATAAAGTTTTGACAAAAAAGGTTTTATAAAAAGCTAAACCTCACATATTTCAGCCTTTAAATCATTTTTTTTATAAAAAGAATGAGTAAAAAAAGATAAATTACGGACATTTACAATGCACATTAGCTTATCTTTTATAATTAATAGTAAAATTAATGTTGACTGAGCTTTCAATGTTGTTACGGTAAAGGGTGAAGCTGATTGGTTGGATCTTGTCACATGACCTGCGGTGCGCTCGCGGCATTCTGAAAAGTTGAGGTGTTTTCATCTCGCTGCGCCTGGACAAAATGAGCGCGTCGCTTCAATTATGAGCGCGCTTGCCCAAGCCTACATTTGAAATAACCAACTTGAGCGCGCAAAAGACGCGATATGTGAACGGCCCCTTGGCGAGCTACTTCCAATCAGGCCACGAGCTACTGGTAGCTCGCGAGCGACGTGTTGGAGACCCCTGCCCTATATAATACCCTATAGGGTATAGTAAATATGAAATGAAAATCACTGCATTAATGCTATCACTAATATAGCTTCAAAGACTGTGTGGGTTTGAAAAGAGTGAGAGTGTGTCTTACAGAGAAAGTCAAACTTAAGTGAAGCGTGAAACTGCAAGCATTGCAAAAATGTCAGCAGACTTCCTGTTTATCCTGGGAGCAGTGCACCATGGGAGATGTGGTTTATTTGTTTGAATAAGAGGTCATTTATCTCTGTCAAATGCATTCTCTCTGACAGAAAGGAGAGAGAAGGTACAAAAAAGGAGAAAAAAAACATATGCATGAATAAAAGAAAAAGTTATTTTATTTAATTAAATGTAGTCTGCTCCTCAATGCCCATTAATTTACTAACATACTGATTAATAATATAATATAACATAAGTAAGGAATAATTGATGAAGGGGCTTTAAATTATTCAAAAATAATGCACACCCACATAATTCAGCGGGCTGGAATCAATTATTCCGCTTATACTACAGTTACCACACCTCAAGACATAGTTTAGATGTTGTATTTCAAGACATTTGTCAGGTTTTTGTCCTTAAAATGCTCTTGTGTGTATGACTAATTTGACCTCCATTGCTAATTCCAGAACATAATTTTAGAGCTAACGGAGGCTTGAGCCATTGACGGCAGACTTACACAGTTATTAGAGAGAGAGAGATTAAGTGTGTGTGAATTACCTGAGTCTGTGTGTCTCTCAACAGTGTTCGGCGTCAGCAGCGTCTCTAATAGCGAAACTGTAAGTTTATCTGCTTCAAGAAAAGCGCCGTTATTACCTCGCTAGTGAGAAATGTCATTTAGCTTTTTAAGTTGCTAAACTATTTTAGAGTTAAAATCAGCAGAGCAGTGCTGACAACACGTTTCTGTGCGAGTGTGTGTCCATACTGTATTTGTGTGCGTTTGAGTGGGAGAGAGAGCGGGAGAAAGAGATTATGTGATTTTCGTACATAATAAATAACTGAAATCATTTGGCGAAATGATACAGGCATGTAATGCAGTCAAGACCTGCCTGGAACTACTTTAGCCATGCGATTCCTTGAAAATAATTGCACACCTTAGAACGTTCGTCAACCAATCATATTCAAGCATTCAACAGCCGTGTAGTATAATATAATATAATATAATATAATATAATATAATATATCACAAAATGCAAGTGATTCTTACCCTTGTCTGCCCAACTGATCCAGTTCTGGAACGGGTGGCCCGTATGTGTCAATGTACACAGGCTGATAGACGTACAACACCTCCTCCACACGAGACACGGATGCCAAAGACACGGTCTGACCCTAAAGGAAAGATACAGACAGAAAGACACATTTTAGAACTATTTTGGCACTACAAATGGACAGATTTTGTCATGTCAATAAAAACAAAATTTTAGATAGATGCACTCCAAAACCCCACCCTCCAACCCGAACACGTGCATTGATTGACAGGCAGAGATCACTTCTGATTGGTTAAGTGTTCTGATTGGCTAAAAAGGCATGGGCCGCTCCCCTCACACTTGTTTTACAGGGCCGTAACAGAGACAAGTGTGATTTCCCATGACAACTATCTAAGAAGTAGGTACATTTTATGCATAGTAATTTCTTTAAATGCTTAAAATGTTACATTCAAAATATATTAGTTTTTGTTACATTTTCTGATAACTAACTTTTTATCTTACTCTATTTTATTAATTTATTTCAGATTATAGTTTTACTTACTACCATTTGAGTTGAGAGTATTTAACATTCTTATTGAGTTTAAATGGAACATTTCATGTAGATGACCTCATTTAAACAAAACTAACAGACATTCTGTCTAAGATGAAGTCACACACATAAATGCATTAGCTCCAACAAACACACACATCCCTCTATGGATCCAGATCCAAGCAGGGGATCTAAAGATGTATGACAACATCACTCACTGCCAACACACACACACACACACACACACACACAGAAGGGAGACTGAACTTGCTGGAGACAGACAGAAACCACAGCAAGGAGGGAGTGTGAGTGTGTGTGTGTGGAGGGAATTTCCATGGGAGAGCTACTCTTTATTTTGGCCTGAAAGTACTGCATGCATTTAAACAGCAACAAAACAGCAAAGTAAAATAAAGGAAGACATAACAAAGAGAGAGAAATAAAGAAAAAGAGCGCGAAACAACCGAGAAACAAGTAAACGGAGGGTGAAAATGAACACTAGAGAGGGGAGTTTTATGATATGTTAATTGAACATTAAACATTAATTATTCCTTAAACATTCCTGAGTGTGAGCATTTAATATATATATAATTTTTATTATTTTTTAGTTTGGGGTCAGTAAGTTTTTTAGAAACTAATAAAAAATAAATTGATACTTTTATTCAGCAAGGACATATCAACCAAAAGCGACAAATACATTTATAATGTTACAAAAGATTTCTACTTGAAATAAATGCTGTTTTTTGTTTTACCTTTCTATTCATCAGAGAATCCTGAAACAAAAATATCTTAAGCACCAAATCAGCATAATGAATTCTGAAGGACCATGTGACACTAAAGACTGGGATATAAATCACGGGAATAAATAAGATTTTAAAATATATTAAAATAGAAAACAGTCATTTAAATTGTAATAATATCTTACAATATTACAGTTTTTACTGTATTTTTAATCAATAAATACAGCCATGGTGAATAACAAAAAAATTTCAAACATATATAAAAATATTAATTGACCCAAATTTTTTAAGGATAGTATATATTCTGAAATAATTGTAAAAATAAGTTATTGGCCTGCAAGCCATTTTATTTACTCACCAAAAACAATTTTTACTTGCTTTGGACACAGAAAACACACACACACACAGGTTCATAAAAAGTGAATCCAGCACTCCAAATTTACAAATTTTACACTTAAACATTCTGCACACACACCAAAAAAAATTGGTTTATAATGAACTCAAAATAACAAACAAATTCTACACAGGCTGATCAGTTCAAAACTCACTCACATCTCACACACAAACACAATCTAGAGATTTCCATGTCAACACATACACACCATCCCATCACAGATTACCGTCAACAGCCTGATACCAGTGGAAAACTCTTTAGAACTCTGACACACACACACACAACCACACACATCACAGTAAACCACTACTGCATCCACCAACTTAAAAATCTTCAAACATCTGCACTCAACATTAATTTGAGGTGTAGTGTGTGTGTGTTTATATAAAGAAATGCTGCTGATGCTGTGCATGTTGAGTGACTATAGATACATATTCCCTCCCCAGCGCCTCTAAAACAGAGCTGCTGGCTCGATCCATCTTCATTACTGTGCGGGGGTGGAGAGGGAAGGAAATCCCTGAGCTGAAACACCCCTCCAGTTGTCTGTGCATTCAGAGTTTCACTCCGAGCAGTTACACACTGTTTAACGGGGCCTTGTGTTCAAATCAATCATATATCTGCAGCATTTCGACATTCAGTGCCGTCCAGCGTTTTAACCTCACCCCTGCCTGGGCAGTAAATCAGTCCGTATGTTTAACATTAACACACAATAAACATCATTTTACGAGGTGAACTTGAATTTTACATTATTAAAATAAACTATCTCTCCTGGTTCTGCGTTCTAGACTTCTGTCTTGGGAGGCACAGAACATTTTGACTGGCACAGGAAAGGCACTACGATGCAATGGCTCATTTGATCGTTCATTCTGTGGGTGTGATAATTTTCTTCACCAAACCAACAAATACGGGTTATTACTTCTGAGGTGTGTTTGTCTTGCTTCTTGCCAACATTCAACTACAAGTATCAACCAGAATGTGTGGATTTGGAAAATTCTGTTATAAACCATTCCATCTCAATATTTATTGTGGGAAGAAGACCAAAAGAAGGCTCTGTTTCCAAAACAGATATATAATCTTAAACTATAAACAATTCTGTAGCTTTTTATTTAAATTCACGTTTCTTGCACTAAAAACAGTCAGAACTTAGTTTTACTGACCATAATTAAATAAAATAAAAAACAAAACACGTTTTTGTTACTGTACCTTTAAGACTTTATGTAAATGACTAAAATGATTGGCTATTCATCTTGTATTCTCATAGTACCCTATGCTTAATACACAATGTCGGACACAGAGCGGTCCAAGTTGATAATCAGAATAAAGTTTAGTTTACTTTGGAGCTTATTTGGACAGAAACCACCCACTTAGATATTAAGAGCCATATTACTGAAATTTTAATTAACTTTAACGTAACATTTGGAGGCAATAAATAAGAAATGCATAACTCAGTCTAAATACAAGATGGCAGCTGTGAGCTTTGGCGATGCGAGTGTGTGCATGTTTACTTCCGCACATACTCTTCTGGTCTTAGCGACATTCGCATTTACTGTAAGGAGAAGCTTATCAGTAGCCGCGTTTCCATTACCCTTCAAATTGCGCAAATTGAAATTGCGAATTGAAATTACGCTCAATGGAAACACGTCAATTTCGCAAAAACTCCCATTTATCGCAAAAAAGTTTTTACGCTCGCATGAGGAGGTTTTTCAGGCAATTCGAAAAAGGAATATTTCGCAAAACTGCAATGGAAACAGTTTTTGCGCATTTACAGTCACCTGACTTAGAAGACGCGGTGTGTTTGGGGTCCGTCCGTGGTATACGCAAATAATAATGGGCTAATAATTATCATCATTATTATAACATTTATTAGGCTACATATTTAGAAGATGCTTTTATCCAAAAAAAGGAACAAAGCAATTCGTCAAATGTCATTCATAATGGTTAGACAATAATAATACAGGGCTAAGATTATCACAAAGAAACACAAGATTTTGACGCATATCCAAGTGTTTGTGCAGAGTGTGGAGCGCGCGCTGCAGGCAGGGAGACGCGGGCGCGAACACTTGCGTTTTCCTATCAACAGTGAAAACAACTTAAAATACTCTATAATTTCTGGTCATACAGAAAATAATAATACATTATTCGCAACTATGCTTTTATTTGTGTAAACTCAAAATAACAAGAAAACGTTGTGCTTTTGTAAAATAAAATAAAACAATCATGCGCGCTTTCATGATCTCCGTGAAAAAAGCTAAAGCTTGAAATGTCCACTTTAAAACGAACAAATTCGAATCGAAAGCTAATACCTTCTGATTATGTAATCCGTATGAAAGGTGCATTTCTCTCTAAAGGTGCATTCGCGCGGCGCGCCTCAGCGGAGATGGAAATGTTTTTAGCCGACACTAATTTAGAAAACAAGTTTATTAATAAAATTAAAATGCCTCGTTATTCTTTCAGACACATTTATTATCATTAGCCTATAACTCACCTAAATCACCTTTCTGTAGGCTGTGGTTCCAGAGACATAGGCCTAAATATGGCTCTTCTCATTCAGCACTGCGGGAAAAATATAATTTTCAGGTTCTAATTTGGCCTTAGAAAACCATTAAAATCTAAAAAAAAATTGTATTAAGTTGGGAATATTTTAAATGTTTAGTAAAGGGGCAAAAAGTCATAAACAAACATCTGAAATTTAGTCGATTTTTTTTTTCCGCAGCATTTGTGTACAGTTTAAATTAAAAAAAAAAATTGGTGTTCAACTTTGCATTTAAAAAAAAACAACCACCGTTCATTTTTCGTTTTGCAATACGGGTTAAATAAGGAAAAACGAATGGACACAAATGTACACTGACCGTTTGGACAGAGTTCTTTATTAAATTCATAAAAGAAACAATAGGCTACAGGAATACTGGATTCTAAACCTCAAAGAAATGCCACAATCAGACCTCGGAGCAGAAATGAGGGAGAAACACCCAGAAACTCCTTATGCCGTTCGCAGTATACGGGTCTTTCCCTGCCATTAATGCTTGGATAACACACCACGTCTCCTTCCATTAATAATAATGTCTAGTGTGGTGGTGCGGTGGCTGTGATATAGGGATATAGGCTATAAACCTACCCGTTGATGTTTAAATTACTTATCGCGAGAGGGGAAAAAGTCGCATAACATCAGTTAATGGAAACGCCGTCATTTCGCAATAGTTTTTTATCGACATTTAGAAAAAATCGCAAAAGTTTTGCGCAAATCTGTAATGGAAACGCGCCTAGTGAAACTTGGTTAGATATAATGAATGTTTTTAAAATGAAAGAGAAGATGGTGGTCTATCAGAGACCAAAAAAAAAACATTCTTATATTATTGTGTACTGTGCGGTAATTCATTTAAATACACAGAGATTATCTTTCATTCTTTCTCCTGTTGATTCTGCGGTTCAGGCTCAGCGGTTAGGAAAATCCACAGGGATCTCTAAATTCATACAAAACACTCAAGTGTGTAATATACATGTACTGATTTTGTTCTGACTGCTGGGGGACTAAGTGGCACAAAACTGCCTTCTCTTTCTGCGTGGAACAACATTCCTATTTGCTATTGTCAACCGAAGTATCAATCCTCAGAGATATAAATAAGCATAATAATACGATGTGGACTCAGCATATGGTTTAGTAACTTTATTTAATAACATTATTATTGCTAACTTTTTGTATATTTATTATTTGCATAAAATGTTCAGAGTTTGTATTTCCACTGTATGTGTAATGTAATTATGAAATTATATAATAATGGTAGTTTACATTTTGATTTTATGTTTTTTTTAGCATTATTATTAAGATTAGAGTTAGATCGTTTTAATAGATTATTAATAATTTATTAATTCATCTTGTGCACCCCTTTGGATGTTTTGTGAGGTTGAGAAACACTGCTTTAAACCTAAACTATACAGTATACTATACTACTCCTCAAACAACTATTGTCGACAACAGCTTTTAGAAATGTAGTTTTCACAAAACCTCGTAAAACAATGTGTTCTGAGCAAATTTCTGTTAAGGTTTTTTTTTTTATGGTTAAATTGAGAGGAATGCGAGAGAACAGCGAAAGGTTTCTGTTTCACATGGGGATCAAGCCGGGAGAGAGCATCGGGACTCTGACTATGCAAGTCTTCAGGACGCTCCAAGGTCAACAAATATAAACTGTCTATCAGCACCTCTGCTGACCTTCACACACACACACATACACCTCAGATCAGCACATTTTAAAATGATCACACACTCACACTGCTCTGCATGGGACAAGAGAAAAATGTCACAAAAGCACACATACTGTACATTAACACTCACAAATACAACACAATGTACTCGTAATCACATGATCTGAAATATCTTGTCCTATTCACAGCTAAATAATCATCAGTCACTGAATTCACACTGAGAAAGTGTCCTGAATGTACCGTGTAACACTAGTGAACACACATACAGGTTCAGTGGGGATAAAGTGAGCTTTGTGGACCCTCCAGCTGGCATTAACTGAGCTCAAGTAACAAGTGTGGGAGCCAATGCCCTCTCTATGCCCTGTAACACACACTATTTTGATCTCAAAGCCTGCTGGCTCTCTTTCCACATGTATGCAGAGTATGAATCCGCCTGCAAAAAGTCAGACGGACACACACATTGCTTAACTGCACAGCTCAGAAACATCTGTGTGTTAAATATAACTGTATAAGCGTGCCTCCTGCTTTGTAGTGTAAAGCCATCTAAAGCTGACAAACAGTTTTTTGCCAGTACTATCCTCCCTGTACTAAGATCCATGCCAACATACACACCAGTCATCTCTTCATGCCAACCACAAGACACATTTGTGGAAAGAAACATATGCACTTGGATACACAAACGCACACACAATTGTGCACGCTGTTTCTGTTTTTTTTTCTCTCAAACGGCAGTTTTTAAGATGTATTGCTCCCCCCTCCTCCAAGTTTGCATACACATTCATGACATGTTGGTTCAGGTCTGTGTCCTTTGCAGTGACCGCTAAAGGGATTTTTTTTTAAAAGAACAAACCTGTTTTACCTGCTTTACAACACAGACGCACCACAAAATTATATAAACACACACACACTCCCACGTCATACTCAAACACTGGCTAATACAAACATGCTGGTGTGTCTGTGCGGAAGCTAGAGCACATGTATAATGTGATGAATATTACACAGGTAACAGTGCATGTCATGCTACATTAGACGTTTATAAACAAATGAATAGCATTTAAGATGTAAATTTAACACAATTATATAAATAAATTATATATATTACATAAATTCTAATATTTTTTTATTATATATTTAAGAATATTTTTAATATTAAGTATTTATTCATTATTCAATTATGACTAATAATAAGCCTTCATTTGGTGGCTTTTCTCATCAAATCCTAGGATTCATTTGATTAATCATTAATACATTTGATTAAATATGTAATCCAATGACAGTCCTACTGATTATGTGTGCATGTATGTGTGTTGTATCCTCACAATCATTATTCCAGTAGAGAAGATGTTTGTTGGTTTGACGTTTTGTTTCTGTTTTTCTATCTGGGTCTCCAGTTGGGCGGCTCGATCTTTATGTTGGGCCAAAAGCACAGCCGCAGGTAACTTGGAACTCTCCTGCAAACACAAACACAACATTCAAGAAATGATTTTCTTTTAAACTTTCTTTTGACACTTTAATTGATAGTAGAGAGGGGATAGTGATGGGTAGGAGGGGCACATGTCATGTCAACCTGTCACACGTGAGATCACAGTAATAGCAAATCACACAGCGATCCATTCGGACAAAATCAAGTCCCGCCCTACATTTTTTCTTGTTCGAGAAGCTGTTTCACTCAGATATATGTCACTTCTGTTTCATGCCGACTTTAAAGTTTGTACTGTGTACCAGTTTATCCAGCAGGGCCTGTTTGTTTTTCCTCTTGGCCTGTAGTTGTCTCTGTTCCTCCTGCAGGGTCTCCAGTCTCCTCTGCTCTGAATCCTGCTGCTCCAGTAACAACAGCTCCTCCAACTCCTCCTGCTCACGTGTCTAACATACAGACAACAATACATTATGGGATCAAATAGAATAAAGTCAAAGTCAACTTTATTATCATTTTTAGCACATTGCATGTATGGCAATTGTTAAAAACGAAACACAGTTCCTTCAATGAACAACTGTAAGACATTCATGAAGACTAAGAAAAGACAACAGATGATAATAGCTCAATAAAGGCTCAACTGTATCTGGAGCCATGGTGGGTGTAATTCATTACTAAGTTATCTAATTACTGTCATTTAATTACCTTTCCCTTGAAAAAGTAAAGTAATGGATTTAATTTAATTACAGTTACTTCTGCTGTAATTGCATTAAATACTGTATAGTCTATACAACAATTCTATATAAAACAACTGGGTATTTAACATTCAAAGTTTTATGTTAAAATGTATGTTTTTAATGTAACTTCTCCCTTTACACACTTTGGTCAGTTCAAGAATAATTAATGCAATTGTATATTGTTTATTTGAAATAATTAAAAGTACAGTTTCGTATCTATCTTTGTTTTGTTCAACTGGTCGAGGTTGATATGGGATTTAGAGAGTAATTAGTAATAAGTTATCCAATACAAGGCTAGAAATCTAGACGCACCCTAGCGGCAGCAAATTTTATTTTGCAGCCAGGGTGGTCTAGCAACTCTCTGTTGGCTTTCGAGATGGAAAAACCAAACTCTAATCAGGCCAATCACACTTAAGTCATTCTTAAAAAAGGAAGATGTGTTCGTAGTTTTGCCGACCAGATACGGCAAAAGTTTAATCTATCAACTAGCTCCGCTGGTGGGAAAACGCTATCCTATTGCGTGCAGAGGGAATTTGAAAGACATCCGTTTATCCCGCCCCTAGGATTGAGCTCTGCCAATGGAGAGTTCCCAGACCCAACATCTTGATGTGGGTCTGACTTGCCAGGTAAAAAGTAATCCAATACTTTTTAGAGAGAGTAATTAGTACAGTTATCTAATTACACAATTGAAGATGTAATTAGTAGCTAGTAATTAATTACTTTTTTAGAGTAACAACACTCATCTGGAGCAGAAGATATTCTGGTTTTTGCTATAATCGATTCCGGTTTAAAAGAGGTTCTCGCTTGTGAAATCAGAACCATGCGCACACACTCACCAGCTTGGCTTTGTTTTTCTGTATCACGTCTCTGTTATCTCGCTGGTACTGTTCCATTATCTGCTTGGTACTGTCAACATCTACGTTATTAGTCAGGTTAAACACTGTACAGACAAACAAGGAAATAAAAAAAAATTAAAAATAAAAAACAAATGTATCACAAATGTCATTTATTTAGTCATATATCTCACCAATGTCCTCCACCTGCTCCAGGTAGTCATTATATTCTTTCAGAGTGGAAAAATCAAATTCCCTCTTATTATAACTGAAAGAAACCAAAGACACATCATTATTAAAATAGTATAATTAGTCATTAAGAAAAACTAAGTGGATGCGTGCAGAGACACATACATTTTGAGAACCTTCTTGCGGATCTCCACCTCTTTGTCGATGGCTGGATCTTCGAAAAGCTGCACGCGGAAATTACTCTTTCTTAAAGGAGTGTTACACTGCACACAGTTACCTGAGCCACGGACAAACAGCATGTCCACACAGCTCTCACACCTGGAACACACACACACACACACACACGTTTTACTCACACTGGCAGAAGGTCTGCTGAAAGAGAGTCAAAATAAACAGTAATGAAATCTGCTGGAAAAACCTTCAGAAGCGATTCCACACAAACACACATTTCAATCATCTCACTGCTTCAGAGAGTGAAATTTGGCCATATTTCCAAAAGGAACCATAAATTCGACTAATGGATAAAACAGAGGCCTGATATTTGTGTGTGTGTGGTGGTCTTATTCAATCATAATGGAGTGATGATGGGATGGGTTTGAGGCAAAGCAGACACACATTAGGGGCTGACAAAGTACAGAGTGTCTTAGAAACCAATGTTACTTCTTGCCCAGAATTTATGCATATAACTAATGCTGAGTTTCAAGTAGATTTCTTAAAAATTTAGAAAACAAATTTTCCACTCAGCAGTTTAACTTTCCTTTCCATTCCCCCTTCTCTTTCTATCAGCTTTCAGAATACATTGCTCTTTGAAATCTGATTTGTGCCTGTAAAATATGACAGGGAGTGTATATAACACAATGGACAAACTGTCTGTAATCGATCTTTGCTGGTGACAAGAAATTATAGAGGGGAAATTACTGGAAAATAAATGAATGCAAAATATTGCAAATAAAAAAAACTAACAAATAATTTGGAGAATTGGCTTTTCTTAAGAAAATCTAACATTCATTTAAAAATATGTTTTTATTTTAGATTTCTAAAATACATTGATGAAAAATACCATGCAAAAGTTGGAGATTAATCATTATTTATGAATTTAATTATTTATTTTATTCAGCAAGGATGCAAAAAAGTAAACAAAAGTAATAGTAACAGCTTTACAAAAACTATATTTCAAATAAATGCTGTTCTTTTGAACTTCCTATTTATCAAAGAATCCTGAAAAAGAAAAAAATCAGTTTCCACAAAACTATGAAGCAGCATTGATAATAAAAATTAAAGTTTATTGAGCATCAAATCAGAATATAAAAATGATATCAGGAGGTGAAGGATCATGTGAAACTGAAAATTTGGAGTAATGGCTGATGAAAATTCAGCTTTGCCAACACAGGAGTAACATTTTAAAATAGGCTATACTAAAATATTAGTTCCTGGTCAAAAATGACCAGCCTTCTAAAAATTGCTTGTAAATCACTTGTTATGCAATATTATCATCAAATATTGGATTCAATCTTTTTGTCAACTTGTTTTCTTTCAATTAGGACAGTTTTTTTGTATTTCTTTTTGGAACTGATTGATCGTATGCCTCATTCATCTAAGCTTATGCACATCAGTTTTTGAGTGAAAAAAATTTAGATAATTGTGTGTCAATATTCAACAAAATTTGCACAGCTTATCACACTACTGTGCTTTAATGTTTAACCAAGTTTGTTTTAAAATGTTTTTATTTTGTACAAAATACAAGACCGTGGTGTTCACGGTCAAAAATGACCAGCCTACAAAAAAAATTGCTTATAAATCTCTCGTTCTGATATTATCACCAAATATTGATTCACTAGTTCGTCTGCCCATTCAGCCTTCAGGAGGCTCGAACCCAAGACTCGGCTTGAGCTCCGAGTTAAAACCCCCCTATGATGGAATTGCGCATAAGAGGATAGAGATCATTTACTGGAGGAGAAGGGGAGGAAGAATTTGTCAATGAGATGACGTGGTGTCTGCTGCGAAATGATGATTGACAGGACTGAATGTTTAGGCTCCTCCCAAACCTACGCTTTGAACTTCATTCAAATCTTTTTGTCAACTTAAGTTGTTTTCTTTCAATTAGGAGAGGTTTTGTATTTATTTTTGAAACTGATTGATTGTAGGACTGAGCAAAGACTGTAAGTTTGAGTCCAATGCGATAACATTAACATTTTCGGGAAAAAGAAAATCCTCTCCGGGTCAAAATGACCCAAACACAACATAATGTTTAAATTGTAATACAATTTTTATAATATTACTCTTTTTGATTAAATAAATGCAGCCTTGGTAAGCATAAGAGACTTAAAAATAAAAACATTAAAAATCTTACACACCTTTTTGATCCATGAAATGTGTATATGTAGATTCATATATAAGACCTGAATATGTGAAACCCGCATGAGCAGTAAACCTCAAAGTGTCAGGAACATGTGTATTAACCATCGCATGCAACACCATGCCTCAGCTGATGTCTGCCCTAGTGCCCTGGGTTTTCCCTGAAGAATCTGTATTTTTTACTTCCAAATTAATTTAGAGGGTAGACTCTACTTCTCCCTGACCCATTACCTGAATAAGGTGGGCATTCATGTGAGAGAGTGAACTGGCTCAAAAATCCTGCAAAACAGTAAGAACACAGACTTTCATGTGAATAAATGCTAGACATTCCCTGCTCGTTCCTCCTCTCCCGATCCGTGTTTGTCAGCATGTTGAGAGGTTACTACACTCCTCTAACTCAGCACAACTGACCCCATCACGCACACACAAAATCTGCAAACCACTGCATTTCTCACACACACACACAAGCTACCTGTGTCCCTCTCATCAACTATCTCTCACACACACCTACCTGTGCCCTTCCCTCTTCACTGCAGCAGGTCAGAAGGACACACTCAGCATCAGCTTAAGAGTCACAAACACATGTGTTTCTTTAACTGCCTGTCCTGTCAAGTTTTTCAAATGCTTAATCATCTATTTAATAGGCCTATCTATTTCATTATTTTACCCTTGTAGATTTTCAATCTTTAAATACAGGAAAAATCATAACAAAATATTAATTACATAATTATTGGACTATTATAAAACGTATAACAATCAAAATAAAGAGTGAAATAATAAATATTAAGATGGTTAATAAGTAGTCAAAACATGTACATTTTTGCACACATTTTGTGGAATGATTACAATCACAACCAAAACATTTTTTAGTTTTATCAAAAAATGTATCAACAGTGCCGATGAAGAACATTCTTGTGATGATAACTGAGGTGAAAAACTAAGAAAAAATTAAGGTAAATAATATTGCTTCTTCTTTTTAAAATATCTTAAAATCACTTGGCTCAATTTTCGAATTAGTTTTTGTTTTTCTCAAAACAAATAAGTTCATATCTCTGAACAATTACTTCAGAGATCTGATTTGAATTTCTTATGCATTCAGGTAAATTGAATGCGTTTTGGCATATGTGCAAAAAAGTACAATTGTGGACAATTTGCACAATAAAGTGGTGCAGGACAGGTATGACGTCACTTTGTAGGCCAACCGGCATTTAGCATCGCACTGGTTCCCTCGACAAAAACACAATAGGATTTTCCCATAGGCTTTTGGAAAAAAACAAGCTCTGTGATCAACAAAACTTTATGATACTTGCACGTTTTGTCCATAAAAAAAAAGATAATTATGACAGATGAGCAACTTTTATGAATTTTGAAGCCTAAATGCAGTCGCCAGAAGTAAAAAACTAAAGGTAGGCTACAATGTTCCCTCTAAGCTGCGCGCGCGCACTTCTGAAGCGGCGGCCGCGCAGAAGAGAATAAAATGCCACGCAGAGGACTGACGCAAAATGTGTGGGGAAATCCATTTGATTGTAGTTTAAGTGAGAAATAATTTCAGTGCTCTGGTCAACCGCTATTGAGTGAAAACTGGTGAATGCAGTTTACAGGTTTCATAGAAAGAGAACGATGTGAGCGCGTGTGATTGGCAGTGAGTCGTGTGTGCGGACCAAATAGCTCAATACGAGAGGCAACGAGAAATGCAAAGACATGTGAAATAAAATCACATCATAATGTTTTAAAGAAGAGTGGTTTAATCAAAGTGGTGGAAATAACGGTTGATGGACACAGAACGGTAACAATTACACACCCACCTGCGTGCAAATTCAAAATACATCATTAGTTTAAATAGATGTTTTTGTGTGGGGGGGAGTTTCAGGGATGGTTAGATTATAAAAGAGTTCACATTCACTTTTCTTGAAAATATTTAGCTATTAGATCGATTTAAATGCTTCAGTTTGTTTTCATATTATAATAATATGATATGTAAACAAATTGAAGCATTTAAACTGATATATTATATCACTTCAAATACTTAAATTCGTTTTTTTATATTATATTATATTAGGCCTATATTTTATTATATTATAAGCCTAAATAAAGAATCTCACAAAGGTATTGTTTAGGGCTCCTTGCCATTAAAAAGTTTGAAACCCCCTGCTAAAGAAAATATTGGAAATTCATAAGCAATAAACAATCATTTAACTTTGATGGTTTAATGCTTCCTGTACACAATGAATTGACTGTACAAAAACACTTTATGGTTTTCCCAAACCATCTCAGTGTAACAGCTTAATTTTCTTTCATACTATACAGTATTCTATTATTGTAAAGAATTGAATTGTCCTGCAGAAGATGTTGTAAATTATTTTTCATAGGATTTCTTGGTAAAGACTGTACAGTTAACAGCACTGTAAAAAAAATATCAGGTAACCTAAAATGTGCTTTCAGTGACTTTTTAATTAACTGCTTGTTTTTCGAAAATATGATTTAATACCAATAAGTTACATCAAGGGTCAAATAAAATAAAAATGGCACATTCAAGTTAAAAGTTACAACTGAATGTCGAAACCATTGTGTTTCTACGTATGCTGTACAGGTCAGGTATAAAGAATATTTTTGCTCAGGTGGCAAAAAATGTCCGCCCAGGCGCCCAATAGGAAAAAGTTTTGCTCAGCAAGAAAAAAAATTAGAGGGAACATTGGTAGGCTATAAACGAACTACACCACGGTCCCATGAATTCAACGTCACCACCACTAATCTTCTAACAACTCTTTCAGTTTTTATCTTAAAAAAACTCCCCAGAACGTTCGAGTTAGAATAGTTTATAAGATCAGAATTACAAGCATAACGAGGCAGTAATAGCAGACTGAGGTTAACTGTTCGGCGTGATGACGTTTACTCTCCTCGAAAGCCTCTGTAGTCCCATTTAGCCACTTGTTAGCAACCGCCTTTTTCAAGACATGCTTCAAAAAATCACTAGTGGGGTAATACTGATGTATTTTGTCGTAGAATAAAACATGAAAATCTCGAGCTTGTGTTCACCAAATACCTTATTTCAGGCATTTAACTAAAACCCCGTTCAAAAGTCCTAAAATGCCAACTCGCTTCCGCGTTTTGGTCTACAAAGTGATGTCATGCACCACTCTATAACTAATGCACGTGGCTTCCAATCAAAACTGATGAGTTGATTCTCAGTGAAATAGTTATACTCTTCACTACTTCTAAACATTATTTCACTATGTGATGACACACATGCAAAATGATCCATTTAGTTATCAAAATCTTATCAATAACTAGGTTTCAAAGCATGAATGAAATTTTGACATCAGTGAAGTGTTACAACATTTTGCAGACAATGCAACAGAGTTGCGAATGCGATGTCCCATTAAACAGTTGTGACAATTGCACTTATATTACATTGTTAGACAATGGTATGACTGTGAAAAACTGTTAAGAGAGTTTATTTTCTCTCTTAACCCCAACGGGTCAAAAGTTCTCATAGTTGAAGAAACACCAGTAGCAATTTCTTCTTCCACTCTCTCAACTGCATTTAATCATAAGCTACAGTCATCCTTATGTTCTGTATACAGAGGTAAACTCTCATGAAATGAGCTGGGGAGTGTGTGCTGGACTGTCTCCAGCAGTGTGTCATCAGTGTGTAATATATTCATACGGTCAGTAATATCCAAGGTCAGCAGTCCACTGTGAATCCTTACGTTCTCTGCAGGTCAAGGACACCCAAAGCACAAGGAGTCACGTGTCTTCAGACACACATCATCCATGAGATCCACACACTACTCCCTCTCTGTTCAGTTTTCTGTGGCTGAATGACTACTCCCATGCACCAAATAAATAGCTAGTTTGATCTCTTTTGTTGTCTGTAACTCTGTATTCATCTTTAATATGAGCATGAAATGGATGTTGCTATACTCTTATCTTTCCTATTGTGACGAACAAATAAAAATTAGGGCGGGACTTGATTTTGTCTATCAGGAATTGATTGGATGGCAGTGAACTCGTGTGAGTGACAGGTCCCGCCCTTGCGCGAAAAAAAATATTTATAATAAATAGGCCTAGCTGGCCTACTACAATATTCCATAAAACAAGAATTGTCCATTTTGATTTCCTGTTGACTTCAACACATTTTTCATGAAAACTATTCCCACCAAAATACCATAGTTGCTAGTTATTGTTAAGAATACAATAAAACTGTCCATTTTTATACTATATGATCATTCATGCACATCAAAATAGTATAAACACTATATATGAAGGACATTACATGTTAAATTATTATGGATTTAGTAGTAATATTAACCGTTTTATGGCTGAAACCATGGTCACTTTTTTTGCAGGAGAGCCTCGCAAACAGAAGTTAGAAGTCGTAAAAACATCGGTTTACTGCACTCACAGCTTGACACACTGACCTGGTTAACTTAGAGCAAAAATGAACCAGATGCAAATAATAAAACGTTCTGTCTTGGACAGTATGAATAAAGATTCACTTCTGGATCTATGAAGGTTTAAGATCTGTAAGTTACAGGTTTGAGTAGAAATCTGACAGCAGGTACTTACAGCGTGTGTCCACACACATTGACCATCAGCTTCAGAGATGGATTTCTGTATTTAGTCGTCTTGCACCTCGGGCATCCCTGATCATCCATTACAATTATTATTATTACTTGTTAGAGTACGTTAGAAAAACAACGGAATAACAGTAATCGACACACTCTGCAGCTCACAACATAGCGCACAACAGTGTTACATTCAAATTCGTCCTGGATGAAACATGTACGTGTAGTATCCCGTTCCTATTCAAACATTCCTCAAGTTTAATCTCGGTCCAGCGCTGAGTTTCAACCATAGACTGTAAAAAAAAATCGTTTCAACGAACGAACGAACGAACGAACGAAAGATAGATAGATAGATAGATAGATAGATAGATAGATAGATAGATAGATAGATAGATAGATAGATAGATAGATAGATAGATAGATAGATAGATAGATAGATAGATAGATAGATAGATAGATAGATAGATAGATAGATAGATAGATAGATAGATAGATATTTCGTATAGGATAGCTTATGTAAATTCAACAACATTGTATTTTTTTTTTTTTTTTAACAATAACTGTAGAAAAAGTTTTTACTACGTTTTAAAGAGACATTAAGACCAAAACCCATATAATTTTAACCGGAGATAAAACGAAATGAGGGGTAGGGCTTGTCGTTTTGTAAAAGTCTGTATCGTTTGAAGTGTTGTATGAGCAGTCTGAGTCTGTTCAGAGTAAGCTCAGAGTAAACACACGGCAGCACACAAAAGCTCGAATGAGATCTCACTATAGACCAGGTGAGCTGCGGGAGCGCGTCACGGCTGAGTGACAGATTCATTTGAATGGTTTCGCCCTGAAGCTGCGTTCGCCCCGCCCCTTTCGAAGTTTCGTGCAGCCAATCATGTGTGTCCAACCCCCCCACCCCAATCATCGGGCTGAGAAGTCACGCTGCTGGAGCGAAAGGGGAAAGCTATCCACTTACAAAGACACCCGATATCACTCGCATGGCGCACGGGTAACCTGATCAGCTTGGGCAGAAACGAGGCGGGGTGACGGACTAAAGGAATCTGAGGTGAAGAATAAAAACAATGTCTATTTCCTCTAGTGAAGTGACAGTGGCAGGCGACATCAAAAAGGAAAATGTGAAGTACACGGAGACTCTTGAGAGCTCCACGGACAGTCGGGGGCACGTCAAACTCCTGACTCTTGACACTCCGGTGGCCGCCGGGATGCTCGTCGGGCAGCAGCAGCAGACCTGTCCACTGGAGCGCAAGATGCCCACTATGGACTCTTTGTCTGCGCACACTTCACCCGCAACTACCGCGAGCTCTTTGGCTTTTTCACCGGAGCAAGTTGCGTGTGTTTGCGAAGCGCTTCAGCAGGGGGGCAACGTGGATCGACTCGCCCGGTTCCTGTGGTCTCTCCCGCAGAGCGACTTATTGCGCGGTAATGAGAGTATCCTCCGCGCTCAGGCGCTGGTGGCCTTCCACCAGGCGCGCTACCAGGAGCTTTACAGCATCTTGGAGAGCCACAGCTTCAGCCCCTCGAGCCACTCTGCCCTGCAGGACTTATGGTACAAAGCCCGGTACACGGAGGCGGAGAAGGCCCGCGGTAGACCGCTGGGCGCAGTGGATAAATATCGCCTGCGACGAAAGTTTCCCCTGCCCCGGACCATCTGGGATGGAGAGGAGACGGTGTACTGCTTCAAAGAGCGCTCCAGGAACGCGCTGAAGGAACTCTATAAGCAGAACCGGTACCCGTCCCCGGCCGAGAAGAGGAATCTGGCCAAGATCACAGGACTGTCCCTGACGCAGGTTAGCAACTGGTTCAAAAACAGGAGACAGAGAGACAGAAACCCGTCAGAGGCGCAGTCCAAAAGGTGAGCAAGACACAATTTTTCAATGAATGAATGAACACTCAAGGAATTTAACAAGAACTTTATTCAGTTATATTGGCAAGACTATTGAGATATAGTTAAAGCAAAGTTTTTGAGAGATCAAGATCCCCCTTTTGGCATTTCATGGTTAAAAAAAAAGTTTCTGCTTGCTTGTGGATTGTCACAGCTTTTGGGTTGTTACCAGTGCTTTTGAATTTAGGTGCATTTACGGTAGATTTAAATATTTTATTTATTCACAATGATGTTAAATCAGAAGAAAACATCGACATTTTGAAATTGAAAAGCCAGTTTCTAAAGGACATTATCCAAAAGTGTGCGTAAAATGTATTGCGTGAGTCACCACCGCGTGTGTTTATTTTTGAGTGAGTAGCTACTCGGGATCCATTGACGCGTAAGGTTTGCCCCACCACATAAATCACTCTGAACTATTTACTTTTCTTTTTAGCCAGAGGGGATAGGAAAACCTCCTCTTCAGCACTCAATTTTAACACACTCACACACATGCACTGGAAATACAGGATTCACTTTAATGTTTAAAACTCTTTGTGAACAAAGCTCCAGCGCACCTGGTGGAGGTGACCTTACACACATACATACTTTTTTTTCCATTCACAGAAAACTGATGTCACACGCTGCTTAAAGCATTTGTAAGCAATCGTATATATTTATCACGTGAATGAGGCAAATTTATTTACAGCTGGACTAGACTCCTCGGCCAACATTTCAACAAAAGAAAAACACTAAATAGTTCCTCTGAATAATCAACAGTTCATGTCTTTACATGTGTTTTTGCTAATATCAGTCAGAAAATGCACGCATTTGTTTTTATAGAGGAGATCTTAAATGCCTCATTCATTCATTTATCTTGTGGATTTTCTGTAATGCCACATGTGGGGGTGTGGCAAATGTGATATTAATAGGCCACGTCAGGCGTTTTCAACCTTTACAGATTCAGGGACCCCATTTAGAGTCTCAGCCAGGAATTTAGATAGCATTTTATTATTAATATTATTGGCAAACATTATTATAGTGTTTAATAGATCACCAATGTTTAAAATTTGCATTTAAATATAAAGAATGTTTGAAAGTCCAATATATTGTATAGCCTATATCTAAACCTTGGGCGTTTCATAATTTAGCATTACTGAAATATGTTTTTAAACGGAAAACAAGGAATGGACCAGAACGCACTGGTCTCGAGGCGAGGTTAAATTTATTTTTAAACGCGACGCAACAAGCAAAGACGCTTGTGAGACAGACAGAACCGCGTCTTGTGTAAGCTCCCAACCACGTAATGACGTTATCACTAAAAATAATAATTGGCAAAATCTTTTGTCTGGATGTGAAGAGGAACACATGAGCGTTGTGGAAGTCCTGTCGGAGTCACACAGCTGCTGCAGTCATTCATTAAACGCGCCCTTCTCTCTCAACTATACGAATTTATGTTTGAACAGCTGAAGTCACTGTGAAATATCGCCTTCAGCGCGCAGTGGAGGAATCGCGCTGTATCGGACTTTAAAATATCAGCTAAATTTAACCTCTCGTTATGGCGGACCCTCCCCGTTTTAGCGAAGGACACTGTGAACATAAAGCTGACCATTTGTGAAGTCATGCTGTGATTGCGGGTTTGTGTCGCCAAATGGTGTGCGTGCGTGCGTGCGTGCGTAAAAGAGTCTGTAGTAGGCCTATAGACAGGATTACTCCTGACATGCGAAGTCTGTGATCTAGGGGGTCCCGCGGTGTGAAGTGGATACTCACCTCCTCCCCATTTGTCTATGCGCGCTCCCGTCTCCATCTTCCTGCAGCTGCGTCAATCCGCGCTCATGTACAGTTCAAAGAGTGAAAAGTTGGTTCATAATACAACATTCAGCCTTTCATTCTCAAAGTACTTTATTGGTGTGCGTGTTTTGCATACAATATTGCCAAACGCATCAACAGTATACAATAATAAAACCATCTTTCATCTTCTCTTTCACACAGTTTAGAAATATAGAATTAGAATTTTTCCCAAGTATTTCTCTCTTGTCTTTTAAAATATATAATTGTCACAGTGAGCACATGTTTTTTTTTTGTGTGTCTGTGATATAGAAATATATATATACACTCACCGGCCACTTTATTAGGTACCCCATGCTAGTAACGGGTTGGACCCCCTTTTGCCTTCAGAACTGCCTCAATTCTTCGTGGCATAGATTCAACAAGGTGCTGGAAGCATTCCTCAGGGAGTTTGGTCCATATTGACATGATGGCATCACACAGTTGCCGCAGATTTGTCGGCTGCACATCCATGATGCGAATCTCCCGTTCCACCACATCCCAAAGATGCTCTATTGGGTTGAGATCTGGTGACTGTGGAGGCCATTTTAGTACAGTGAACTCATTGTCATGTTCAAGAAACCAATTTGAAATGATTAGAGCTTTGTGACATGGTGGAAGTAGCCATCAGAGGATGGGTACATGGTGGCCATAAAGGGATGGACATGGTCAGAAACAATGCTCAGGTAGGCCGTGGCATTTAAACGATGCCCAATTGGCACTAAGGGGCCTAAAGTGTGCCAGGAAAACATCCCCCACACCATTACACCACCACCACCAGCCTGCACAGTGGTAACAAGGCATGATGGTTCCATGTTCTCATTCTGTTTACGCCAAATTCTGACTCTAACATCTGAATGTCTCAACAGAAATCGAGACTCATCAGACCAGGCAACATTTTTCCAGTCTTCAACTGTTCAATTTTGGTGAGCTCTTGCAAATTGTAGCCTCTTTTTCCTATTTGTAGTGGAGATGAGTGGTACCCGGTGGAGTCTTCTGCTGTTGTAGCCCATCCGCCTCAAGGTTGTGCGTGTTGTGGCTTCACAAATGCTTTGCTGCATACCTCGGTTGTAACGAGTGGTTATTTCAGTCACTGTTGCCCTTCTATCAGCTCGAACCAGTCTGGCCATTCTCCTCTGACCTCTGGCATCAACAAGGCATTTCCGCCCACAGAACTGCCGCTCACTGGATGTTTTTTCTTTTTCGGACCATTCTCTGTAAACCCTAGAGATGGTTGTGCGTGAAAATCCCAGTAGATTAGCAGTTTCTGAAATACTCAGACCAGCCCTTCTGGCACCAACAATCATGCCACGTTCAAAGTCACTCAAATCACCTTTCTTCCCCATACTGATGCTCGGTTTGAACTGCAGGAGATTGTCTTGACCATGTCTACATGCCTAAATGCACTGAGTTGCCGCCATGTGATTGGCTGC